GAAACACTCATTTGGAGGATAGCTTCGTTTTGATGCTTGGGAACCATATTTTATGACGTATATAACGTGCACTACCCCAATAAGTAGGACAAAGATAACGGACCGTGTATGTATTTTTGTATCTTTTAATTTGTGTATTTTTAAGTGATCTTCGTTTTTGACTGACCTTTATATAAACTTGGCTAACATTCACTTACCTTGTGTGCAGTCAGGTGTATGTAGCGAGACTGTTTAAATAAGCAGTTCTTTTATTATCGACAGAATAAATGAAAAGTTTCACATTTGACGGGGTGTTTTAGGTGCATTTTATTGACGTAAAATAACTTAATAACTTTCTGAAAATGTTTTCATCGGACGATGGTCACTATTTTGTTTTGATTGTACATTATAACAGGTTGGGTCCAATCGCCCAAATGGGATATGATAGTTCGTTTGGGATATAATATCCCAAATGGGCTATACATTTTCAGTGCAAAAATTAATTATTTTTATCTTGGCAATAAATATCATAAATCCGCATCAAAACTTTTAAAAAGGAATAACTTTTGGTAAGCAAAATTTTCTGCAACCCAACAGTTTGTAAGATCTCCAAGAAGTTAAGGGACTTCCGAGGGATCAATCTCCTAAACAATGGGCATACAGAAAAACTTGTAAACCAAAAGTCATTCCTTTTTAAGTGTCCTGAAATATCCGTAAATGGTAGAGAGTTAGCGGGTTTGTTTCTAAACTATTGTTTGTTACAAAGTATAGGTAGGTGGAAGAAAGCTCTGAGATCAGGGACATACCTTCAAGTCAAGTTTGAATTCTTAGATCAGAGACGTATGTTGTTGTTAAGCTTTTATTCGCTGGTACAAACTACACATAGGTGGGATTAATAATTCGGAGATCATGTTTTTTGGTAAAAATAATGAAGTTTTGTTTCTATCCCTAGAACTTGGTGAAATGGGGATATCGTACCGTTTTTTAAGCGGGTGCAAAACTACAGGTTTATCCATGAACAGATTTATACTTCGGTATTTACCTCGAAAAGCAAAAGTATATTAATAGGACACGTAAACTCTTCTGGGATGTCAGTTGGTACTTTATCCAACCGGGATATACTTACATGAGTTCAACATGCATATTCTACGTATTTGGGAGACACAGTTTAAAGGAGTGTAATATATCCATACTCTTTTAATCATATGGCCGTCATATATCTGTAAGAATATCCACCGTCTTTTGCATTGCTAGATAACAATAAAAGTGGAGTGACCCAAATAAACATAAATGATAATAACGTATTGTAAGACGCTTGTTATTTTGCATCTTATTTTTTTTTAAAAGAGTTTTTCAGGATAAGACAAAAATCTATTATTTCTCAAATGTATGCGGTAACGGAATCATTTTTTTTTAAATTAAAGATATAGTTTATTCAAATTTTCACCAAGATATTTGTTTGAAAATCAAATAACATTTTACAATACCTTAAAAACATGTGTATCCCATGGACTTCAATGTAAAATTCAAGGTACAGTTAATTGGACAAAAATCAAAATTTTGTACAATTCTCTAGTAAAGCATTGTTTGATAACATCTTCGAAATTCTACCATTATTTAAACTACCATTCATTTATAAGGTACGAAATATGTTCGATATACATTGAATAACTTTAAAGCCGATGGAATTCTCGATGTTCAGCCCTTCATTACATGATCATTGAGGTTAGAATAGAGTTATGGAGAAAACGAACAGTAATCTCATTCAAGTCCATTAAACAATATACAAAATAAGAGCAGAGCAAACACGGACCTCTGGAACATCAGAGGTGGGATCAGGTACCATGGAGGAGTGAGCATCCCCTGTCGACCGGTCAATCCCGCCTTGTGCTCGTTGTCATGATCAGGGAATAACGGAAAAACTTAGTCGTAAATTCAGTGTATAAATAATGAACCAACAATTGGTATGAAAAACGTCAGTCAGCATTTGACTCAATGATAAATTGTGTTTGCTGACAAGGTCAGTGTATCGATCATAGAACTTACGAAATGATGACTTTAAAAGAGACTGTTGATATTCTTGTTTCATCAACTTGCTTGTCAATAATCTACCTCGTTTAAGAAAATGTTCATACGTAGAGCATGCTCTTGTGTATCGACTCAACTGAGATATTTATACTCCGTATGCAGGTGATGAAGGTATATTGCTGCATAAGTAAGGGAAGTTGACGATAGAAAAGTTAAAGTCATCACGTTTATCATTTTTAGAAGTGAGATATTATAATTTGGACTTTAGTTTTATTATTTTTTTTTTAAATTAAAAAAAAACACATTTTACAACAAGCATTATACAAACATCAATGCCCTAAGCAAAGAAATATTAATAAAGAAATCACAACTGATGTTTTAAGTTCGTACTTTGGATCACATAAAAAAGATCCCTCGAATTACCTAGTGTGAATTACCAGGTATACCAGATCCAGAAAAGTAGTGACAACCGAATAGCGAGAAATATAGGTTTTGTAGATTTACGTATCCCTTGCTCTATAGTGCTAGGATATGCCTCGGGATAAAAACTTGAGTTTTGTGAGAAATTAAATCTTATTGCTGAGCTGGATATTCCTGCGAATAATTTGCAAATTTCTCATTAGTTGTTGTTGTATTCACATGTAGAAATGAGTTTCTAATTAAAATAAGAAAATAATTATGTATATCTTACAAAATGAGTACAGTATATTAATCATATTGAATTACATTTTAGAGGTGGTGCAGGGGGCCCAGCCCGCCTTTTTCTGTCCGTTATATACATAAGATTTAATAAATGTAATTCAATGATTTTAGTGTGGCTGTGGGCCCTTTAACTCTGACAAACAACCGGTTTGCGCCCCGCCCCCTCTTCCTTTTCAAGATTCCTGCATTCGACATGGAATTCTGCGTCGCCGTGTGACATAGTGGTAGGAAAGTTTGCTGTAGAGTTGCAGGTTTGAATCCCTCTGAGGGACATTGAGACCAGTCCTCCATTAAACCCTATAAACTAAGGTCCCTAGTCGCAGTTGGTGCTGGCACAAAAAACGTCCCTCACTATGCAGAGGATCCGGGCTTTCCTTTTCTGTCCAATATATACATAAGATTTAATAATTCAATAATTTTTGCGCGGCTGTGGGCCCCTTAACTCCGTCAAACAACCGTGGTCCCCCTCTTTCTCTTTAAAATTCCCGGATGCACCACTGAATTCTGCGTCGCCGTGTGACATAGTGGTAAGTCTTCTCTAAAGTCACAAAGTAAGGAAATAATCCTTGCGTTGCAGGTATGAATCCCACTGAGGGACGTGAAGACCGGTCGTCCAATGAGACCGTATTAAACCGGGATCCCTTGATTCAGTTGGTGATGTCACAAAAAGCATCCCTCACTGCTCAATGACACATAGTGTCAAGCAGCTTTTTATCGGCAATTGTTAATGTTACCATCAGTGAAAAAATTGGATCGAGGATCTTAAGGCAGCATCTAAACACGTTTTGTTTTTGTATGAAGAAGGATATGGAGGTAACGAACAGTATTCAGTCTCAAAGTCCATAAAACATTGCAAAATAGGAGAGCAAACACGGACCCCGAAACCTCAGAGGTGGGATCATGTACCTTGGAGGATTGAGCAACCCCTACCGACCGGTCACACCCGCCGTGTGCTCCTTGTCATGAACAAAAAATAATGGAAAAAAACCCGTCTCCAATTCATGAACATGCGTATTGACAAATGTCTGTCTCAATTAGATTATTACCCTCCCCCCCCCATCAAGCGCATTCTTTTTTCGCAATTCACAAAACGACCAATCTTTACTAGCCGAAATACAAATTAAATATAGAAAGAAAATATATCTAATAATTAACATAAAATCCTTTTATTTCTCATCAAAATCAAGCTTCAATTGTTTATGATTTATCAATAATTGATGATTAGATGAAATTGATAAATTGTTTATATGCATTGGCATTTCACTTTTAAGCATACAATTCAATATATAATATTTTCATTGTAAATTACATTTGAAAATAAATGTAAATTACCATGGGAATGCATATTATTAAAGAATATTTATTCTATTTCTATAAATTGTCTCTAGTGACGTAGTACGCATATTATGAACGATAATTTTTTTATGAACGCTATCTCATGTTCGACTTCTTCTATGCTGTACCTATGTTGTCTAGTCATAACCAAAAAATTACATGTTAGCGGGTTTTGTATTTTTTATGCGATAGGTGCGACAACAACACAAACTAATTAAAATTAGATGTTAAATCCCTCGCATACTCGATTATGCGAGAGGATCTAACATCTAATTTTAATTAGATGACAACAAACAAAGAAAGCATTTAATTATTTAAAAATTCAATTGCTGCCTTCGGCCGAATGGGCAAACATTTCTTTGTCCTTGGGTCTATCAAAACTTATGTTGCCCTCATACAAAAATCAATACTGGTAAATTATAATTGTGCAAATCGAAGGTGACCTATATGAATATTAAAAACACACAACCTAGATATAGATTAATTTATTTCAAGATTTTGCACAAATGAAGTTTTATTAAGGTCAGACGATACGTTTTTCAAATCTCTGTTTAATTTAATTTTTGTTGTATGAAAAATATTCAAAATTTCAATAACAAGCTGAGTTCTAAACCAGTTTCTCATCATTTAAACAAAAGCAAAAAAGTTGGTTTTGTAAGATTTGATATTTCCCCATAAGGTTATATAAGAAACTCTACTCTTTGCTATCTTGCACAAAACCTAGTAAGGTACTTCCATTTTTTGTGAGTAAACTTATTAAAGTAACAACACCTAAATGACAAAATCTTGAAAAATGTTGTATATTATTTGGGAACGCATCATCTGTTCTTAAGTTAATCTTTTTTTTTTTTAAATTTTCCATGCATGATGTCTGACCTGGCAAGATGTGTGATTGATAAAATTGATTTTAATTATTTACAGCAAATTGTGAACATATTAACTAAATCCTTTAAATCATGAATACACTAGAATACAACACACCGTGTAAAGTTCGGCAATGTTCTCAGTGTCAGGTTGACACAGAATTCTACTGTAACACGTGTAGACATGAGTTCTGTCTAGAGTGTAAAGAGAAACATGTTATTGATCTCGAAACCAAGCACCACGATGTTGTGATTTACCGTGAGAAATATGAATACATTACAAAAGAAGAGACTTGTATGAGACATGAAGACAAAATCTATAAAATGTTCTGCAAGTCATGTGATATGCTTATCTGTTTTCAATGTAAAGAACACATAAAACACGTAATGCTGGACTTTCGAACAGCATATATAACAAACCGTCAAAAAGACAGAGAAATCGTCCACAACATCAGAAGTGAGACTCTCTATAACAACTGTTGTGTTCTGGCAGAAATCAGATCTGATATACAAAAATGTCACACAAAAATCTCCAACAATCAGCCAAAGATGTTAATAAAAGCCCAAAAACTAAGAAACCTAATTGACGCTGTCATTTGTGATGTTAAAATCAGATGCAAAAAATTAATTCAAAGTTTACAACAGCAGCGGAGAAAAATAAACATACATCTTGCCAGCATAGAAACCTTTGAACACAGATATGAACATTTGGCAAGCAAATCGCTAAAATTCCTCATATTCCTGAAGAGAACTCGTGCACACATGTTAAAGAACACTTTCAACCTCACACAATACACCCTGGTCTGCCTGAATGAAGTAAGCAACACAGAGGATGTGACTGATTTTCTGGGTGAAATTCAAATTATAGAGACAGGAAAAAGACAAGTAAGAAATGAAAATCTGCTGAAACTGATGTCTTCACCTGTGTTACACAGGCACTGTGCTAGGTGAAATACTAGTTTATCATTTTTGCTGTGTGACACCAGACCAGGCCTGGATCAGTGATGGTAGAAATCTGATCTTGATAAACACGGAGGTTGACAAATTACATCATCTGACAGATGTAATTAATGAATGGGGACAACACACAGTGAATCTTACTGGTGATCTTATTTTCATAGACAGGGGTGGTAATATTATCAAACTCTCTAAAGATAACAGAACAAATTCTACACTGATAAAGAAAACAGAACGATGGGTACCACAATGTATCTACTACTCCCGCCTCAACGGCGATTTGCTGGTCGGGATGTATTACTACAGCACAAGCATAATAGTACGTTATAATGACAAAAGACAACCCAAACAGATTATAAAGCATGACAACACAGGTCAGAAACTCTTTAGTGATCCTATCTACATCACAGAAAACCGCAATGGAGATGTTATTGTGTCCGACTTTCTCATTCATGCTCTAGTGGTGATAGAGAGTGGAGGAAGACATCGCTTCTTCTACACAGGTCCTCCATCAGGATCACGACTAGATCCACGAGGAATTAGTGCTGACGCGCTTTCACACATCTTGGTTTGTGGTGTGTACACTAACACAATACATATGCTTGACTGGGACGGTTATTTCCTGTCAGGGATACTGACAGGACCACAAGGGACAGACGGACCAATGGGCCTGAGTTATGACGACAAAACTCATTTTCTCTGGGTTGGATTACACTACGAGTAAAAGAAAGTGTGTGTATGCAGATACATAGAGAGACGGGACTATCAACAATATATAACGAGTCAGATTAAAATAGATATATGACAGTACAAATTCTATACTGACAGGGCAATCGGACAAGTGAATTATAATTATGAAAAACACATTCAAACAAAAACAGAAGTATCTTAAAGACTTTGATAACTACGTAGTTACTTATACAACCTGATATGAAATGCAACAATAACTTTACTAGTACCTGATAAACACATGTAAATGCTGCTCGTTTTTACGGCATACATAGCTGAAAATCATATGGTGACATATACTTAAATGTCATTTGTTTCATCTGATACATGTATAGAAAAGTAAATAAAAGTTGATTTCGAGATGGAGGATTGATTGATTGATTGTATATTGTTTAACGTCCCTCTCGAGAATTTTTCACTCATATGGAGACGTCACCGTATGCAGGTGAAAGGGCTTCAAATTTTGACCTTTACTCGGCACTCAGGGCCATTGAGCTGTGAGGGATCTTTATCGTGCCAACGCCTGCCGCTGACACAGGGCCTCGGTTTTTAAGGTCTTATCCGAAAGACCCGCAACTTTCACTTCAAAGTGCCTAGCGCATGGCGAAGGAACAGTTGCTACCAATTTTAACGACTAGGTAAGTCGGGGCAGAGATACGAACTCACGATCTCCCGATCACGAAGCTAGCGCTCTACCAACTGTGCTACCGCGAAGGATCTGGATGGAGGAAGTTTTAAACTCATGAAAAATATTTTTAAAAGCCTGATTTCAACGAAATTGGGAAAATAAAATAAAATTCACCCCTCAACTTTTACAATTGTGACCTATATATTGCTAGATAGCTTCTACGTTTTTGAATGCCCGAAAATATATAAAAAATGTCTTTTTGAGTACTCCATGAGCTGTTCTACTTTGTTAATCATGACACAGTTAAATTTTCTGCGACACAATCAAGATTCTAATTTTATGCGAACAACACTGTAAAAAACTTGTTGACACAGTAAGATCTGTGATATTCAGAAAATCCAAACATACATGTATAAATTTTCTCTCACTAAAACTTTAATAATAAAAGTTTATCGTCTTTCAATACTAAAAAGAGGATAACTTAATTAGGGCGTCATCTTGAATAATTACTTATCTTCTATACTTGATCCTTGCCAGACTTTTCTCATGATAGAACAAAGACAAATAATCTGTTTTTAAACGGTACAGAAGTACATGTAGATACGGTTTGGGCTTTATTTTGACATAAAAATTGAATATTCTCAGATAGGAAGGCCGTTGGTGCCACGTACGAAAAATATTTTATTCGGCGACCGTAAATTATATATCTGGCGTCCGCCAGATAAAAATGTGGCGTCCGCCACTTATTATTTGGAAATTTGGGGGAACAAAATACATTATGTATCATGAGTATTGAGTTACTTCAATTTTTCAACAATCATATTCATATTTCTGATATTTTTGCAAGCTTGATTTTTCTTTAATTGATAAACGGGAATTTACATGTATTTAAAATCAGGCTGATTCTACGGAAGCCCAGTTGGTTCCACGTACGAAAAATATTTTAACTGGCGGTCGCCAAATAATTATTTCGCGGCCTCCACTTGATATATGGCGGCAGCCAATAAAATTATCTGGTGGCCGCCATATATTTATCTGGCGATTACTACATAATATCTAGCGGCCGCTACATAATATTTGGCTGTCGCCACATAATTTATCTGACGTCCACCAGATAACATTTCGTGAATAAGGGACTGAACTTGACTCAATCAACGTATATTTAAAAAAAATGAAGGACTGAATGTATAAAATATATATTGTTTATGATAGAATTCTTGTGTGATTTGATTTTCAATAATGTAATGTTTTCCGTTCAATTTTCCGTTCCTCGTTTTAGCAAAACCCCTCCAGAACCCCAGAGGTGACGGACGTTTTTCATACCAATTGTTATTCAATTATTTATACTCTGAATTGACAACGTAATTTTCCATTACTCCTGGTCATGACAAGATGTGACCGGTCAGCAGGGAAGCTCGCTCCTCCATGACATCTGATCCCACCTCTGTTGTTTCGGAGATGTGTGTTTGCTCTCCTCCTATTTTGTATTGTTTTGTGGATTTTGAGATTGGATACTGTTCGTTATCTTCATATCCATCCATTTCAAAATTTGGGATAAATACACTTGTATATTTAATACTGACATGCCACCTCCCCAATTATTTTCAGTAGATACATATACGAGGGTTGTCCCGTAAAATCATGGACAAGTTGTCTCGCATGAACAATAATCATCACTGTGTTCTGAATTTTCACTACTCCATAGTACATATTTTCAAACATACAGTACATACTTTGTACATACAATATAGCAAATATCTAATAGATATATGCATAAATAAACGAATAATGAGATTTAATATTATGTATTGTATCGCCTTACGGAGCACGGATGATGAAGTCAAAGTGCCTAAAACAGCGACAGGTACCTCAAGTTTCATCTTTGCACTTAAAATGAAGTTGGATAAGCCCAACTTAAATTTCGAAATTTCATTGAAGCACATACTTAAGTCTTCATAAACAATTGAGGAACCAATCTGGCACAAATGTACAATCTTTTGATGATTTATTAGCATGAAACGGACAATATTCCAACATGGTTAAACTAATAGACAATCTTATATTTACGCGGTCAAAATTGACAGCGTCTTTAGCTATTACAGTTATAGTTTGTCTGTATGCCTTGTACTACCTCGGGACTCGATCAAGAAAGTCTTTACTCAAAAAACTCCCATATTTTTTATAAAATAAAGGTTTGGCAATTTTGGGGGATTTTTTAATTCTTCTGTATTCATTTAGAGTTTTATACGGCGTTATTACTCCATCTAAATCATAGCGAACTGTTCTCCGCCGTAACGTCACCAAACGGCATAATTTTTCGTGTGTTGTGTTTACCACTTTCCCATTTCAAATGCTCAGGAAACTGTCAATAATTGACCAAATGCATTGAAAATATTAAGAAGACAACAAAATGAATTGTAGAATTGAATATGAATTATTTTTACCCTAATCTTATTTATTTCAATCTTTTGTTTCAAATCAATACTCCTTTATTCGCTTATAAATCTTTCATTTTTTGACCGTGCGCCATAGGCTTTTAACTTGTACACATTCAAGCAATATAAAATATATATTTTTGAGTATATTTTATCCAAAACATCATAATTAACTTAAATATGATAAATAAACATTCACTGAAAATTCCAGCTTGCTTCGTCCATTATTCTTCGAGGAAAACGCTTTGTCCACAATTTTACGGGACAACCCTCGTAGCATGTTAAAAAAGAAGGGATTCCCCAGTTATCCTCAAAATAAACTCTGTGTGTAATGGTATTAATATAGCCATTATGGTTATTCAGACAACGTATCAAATGATTTACAAAGCCTTTTAGAATTTTATTAGTAATGTTATGAAAATAGATTTGACAAAATTTGATACCCCCTCAAATTTGAAATAATATGAATCCAGTCCTTTATTATGTTTATAGATGTTAAATTCATGGCACAGGTTTTGGCTTCAGTCACGACTCATGAGATCTTGGCACATTGAAGTGGAATATTGTCAGTGTGTATCATACTTGCTTGACTAAGAATGTACCTTTTATCAACATTCATGCACAATACTTGTATTTGAGATAATAAGCAGATAATAATTTAAATTTTAACAAATAGAGTTTATCAGTTATCACAATTTCCAATTAAACCATCCTCGCTAGCCATGAGATTCGGATGCGCTAATCTCTTCATGATTGAATTAAACACACTGATACAATATAAAAGGCCTTAGCGCAAGGACAATTCATGGCCATAGGAAACTGGGGGCTGGGGGCCGTATGTCAATGATTTTGCCAATATATATCGTGGCGGATCCTAATACCAGTGAGGTACATAAAGTGGCATCTCCTTTTGAGCTAACAATTTCTTATTGGGAAATCTTACTATCAATTTATATTGCGTAACACAGTAGCTTAACGTTTGTGATGTAGAATTAAAAATATTCCTTTGAAAGACGGTGTTTGATTAACTTGAAAACCCACTAATCTTATGAAACGTAAAAAAACAATTAAAATTGACATTAATTTTAAACAAATTCCAAACAAACGTTACATACCAGCAAATAAAAGTTAAACAACTGTCATTTAATAATCAAAAACAATTCAAAAAATGGGGATTTAAAAAAAATTCATGATTATTACACGATCTAAGTGTATATTTTATAGGTTAAATCCTTTAGATGGTGAATAGATTTACAATCAATACACAATTAAATTTAAAATATTTTGAATAAGATGGAAAAGGTTAAAAGGAGAAATGTTTCTACTGTAATTATGCCTTTAGGACAAAGTTGGTGTTTAAATGTAAGTTTATGTTAGCTGAGTTAAGATTAACCACAGGACCCATAGTAGGCATATGACAGCTTTACTTCAGAAGAATTGTTAGACTAAGTTATGGTGAACATTTTATTCATCGTTTGTAATGTAAAAATATATATAACTGTATTCTGTATATCTATTGCTATGTCACAGACAGAATGAGAGATTTTTTTTAAAAAGTGTCCATATATCCTGTCCTAATTAAAATGTTTAGTGATTCAGTTGCGAATTTCATTGCTAGAATACTGGTACCGCAAAATTTTAGTATTTCACGTAAACGCCACCACAAAGTAAGATTTCAAACAATATGAAATTTTCTCTTCTTTATAGTTAAATGAAAGATTATTAATTATAAAAAAAAGGTTAAAAACATTCTCCAAAATTATTCATGAGGACATCATAGTTACTTATTTTATGATACAAATAGATATATGTACTTGCAATACAAACGGTTAGCCCTCGTATTTTAGATAAAGTCGGAGATAGATAAATTGATGTGCAGTTTAGTGATAGAAAAAGATAACATGTTTTTACGTTGTATAATGACACACTTCATACGCTTTTGGAAGGAGGACTGAAGGTATGCTCTAAAACTAAGGTAAGTTTCAGAATTAAAAAAAAAATGTATGTGTGTACGAGGGGTGATCAAAAAGTTCACAAACTAATTGAATAAATCTTTACAAGAAACAATATTTGGTTTTAATGTTGATTATATTTTAAATTAATCCTCCCCGATTTTAATGCACATCAACATCCGTTCTGCGCATGCAATAATCACGTGATATTAGCGGT